AAGTCTGGGTGGGATTGGTGTCATTTCCTGTGTGCACCAGGAAAAGTCCATGCACATGTGTGGACAGGGGCTGTGGATGCACAACACCCAGGCAAATGTGCACTCACACAGCAGCACCACTATTCAAGCCAGCAATCATCTGATTTCCTCCCCTGTGGCAACTCTGTAAGACATTTCAATTTCCACTGGGCTGCCTAAAGATTTAAACACAGTGTTAGATAAGGAAAGAGCAGGGTTTTGCATTGGTATCATTGTTATAGCAGTTAACACACACACATGCGGAGCCAAAGACGCTTTCAACTGTTGCATGGTGAAAAAATACATTTATTGGGTATCTGTGTCAGTGTAGAAAAAAGTGAAAACTGGCTTCAGGTTTTTTTGTCACAGTACCACAGGTGAGTTTTCCAGCAGCTGTCTGGTGGGCTGAAAGTAAGCCAGCATGAAGCTCCGTCAGGGCAGTACATCTGCTAAGGATGACTTCATAGGAGGCGGCCTACTGCAGTCTGTGATAAACACATTGTCTGAACGACTCTGCAAAAAGCTTGGGCTGCTCCTAAAACACACAATCAGCAAATACACAAGTTGTACAGCGAAGCTGACCAACACCGATGCTCTCTCATTTTGCATGTGGGTTTTGCAGCAGAGGCTTGATTTTGATGATACTACAATTACAAATCTCTAGAAGCCACTCTTTTATTTATTTATTTTTTAAACAAACAACTCTGTTTTACAGTTGATTCCTAATGAATGATAATAGCATGAAAAGGTTTCCTCAGTCCACACAAAGCCTTATACCTGCTTATCTGTTAATTTTGATTAGAGGTTAGAGCTAATTAAAACTTAATTTTTCACAAAATAAAAAAATAAATAAAAGGGGATTTTTAATACAGAAATAGCAGCCTTCTGAAACGTATGCTGGTTTTCTGTGCAATATATGTCTAATATTGCCCAGGGCACCTTTTGCATATAACTGCATCAGTGCAGTGGAACATAAAAGCAGTGAACATGACTTTGCTATAGTGGCCTTTAGCTCATTTTGGCTCCAGTGTCTTTCTTTTGACAATAACTCATCTGATAATCTGTGGGGTTCAGATCAGCTAAGTTTGCAGGGCAATCACGTACAGTGAAGCCATGGTCATGAAATAAGGTATTGATACTTTTGGAAATGTGGGCAGGTGCCAAGTTCTTCAGCATCTAAAAAACAAAACAAAAAAAAACACACAAAAACAGCTTGTCAGGAGAAGGACAAACTATTTTACTCAATAAACACAGTCCTCCAGAATCAGCCAGTGACATGGCGCACTATTTTTTTTCTGAGCAAGAAAACCTCAAACTATACCAGAGGCAACTTGGATTCTATAGCCTCGTGAGACCATCCTGATCTCGCGAGCTTTCAAGGTTTCAATCGCAAATCAGTCTGGAGACTCTCCGTTAAAGAAAATTTGGAGCCGTTCACCAAACGAACGTCCAATCAGCGTTGGCTTTGAGGCGGGTTGAGGTGTGACGCAACGAGAAGCGCGACTGTTCAGTCTAAAGAACATGGCGGCTTCAGCCGATGAAATTAGCGTTAGCGTGGCTATCGAGCAAGTTTTATCGGAATTACACGGTATTTCTTCACTGAAAGAAGAGCAAAACACTGCTCTGGAGGCTTTTCTCAGAGGAAAAGATGTTTTTTGCTCTTCTCCCCACTGGTTCGGCAAGAGTTTGATCTATCAATTGGCTCCTCTTCGTCGTCACTCTGTTAGTACGTCATATGCTTCGTTGATCTGATTGGTTTATTTGGCCCATCTATCACCAACATAGGCCAATCAGCTAACCAGTATTTTCCCCAAATTACTTCAACGGAAGGTTTCCAGATGGATATGCAGAGCAAATCCATCTGGCGGAGTCAGGTTATGGATTCTATGCCTCTTCTATCTTTCTCCAGACTCACAGATTTGAATTTCGAAATTAAATGCAAAATTAATCAAAATTTATTAGTCAAATTCTTTATATCTGACGTGCAGGTATGACACCTCATGTCTTCAGACTTACTCGCCCATGCATTGTGAATTACAGACAAATTCTGGAATACCCTTTGCTTCCAAATCCTCTTACGGCAGTTGTTCTAACTGTTTGTGCATATTTTTCTTCCATACTTTTTCCTTCCACTCAATTTCTCATTCCTTTGTTGATTTAACACACCTTCTGGAAGTTGCCGTTTAACATCCGTTTGACCCATGCCCATAGAGCAGAAAAAATGTCCTTAATGTTTCTGAATTAAAAATCCCTTTTAATACGTTTTTCTGTGATACGACTTTCTGAAAAACACTTAACTTTCAGTTTCCATTGACTGTAATAAATTACCATCAAAATAAAAAGGAATAAATTAAATCACTGAAAAGAAATGAACTTTTTAAAGACTTTCTGATGCATCCTTGTAGTGTAAAGGATAATGAGCTGAATGTTATGATTCGTGCATGTCTGTTTCTGATTTGAAAGTCTCACGACACGTAGCATGTCTGCATACTTTGTGAACAGATGAAGGCCATCTGAAAACAAACATGACATACTGAAACTCAGATACTGAGCATTTACATTAAGAGGTAATTATTTTTTCCCCAACTTTCTTTACATATAGAATTTATTCTTAAACATATTTAATTTCATATAAAATAGTTAATCAGAAACCAATTCTATATACAAGAACACGACGGCACGCAGAGGGAGTCAGAGATGGTGTGCATGCTAATCTGGTTTCCTGCTTGGAAACATTTTTATTTTTAGTCTGTGTCACTAGTTTTGTCTGAAGCATCATCATTCATATGACAAACAACTGCTGCTGAATCAATGCTGAGACACCTTTGCCTTCTCTTTGGAGTGGCAATTCTTCAAAGAGAATGTGACCTTCTTGGGAACAAAAGAATGATCCACGCTTCAGCCTTGGCCTGCCCTGACTATAGTTAATATGTCTACATTTGCTTTTGGTTTTTTAAGCTGGATTAGGAGATAAACAGTTCAGGTCAGAATTTTACATGTACTTATCATGGGCATTAATATCATATTAAGCTTAGCAATCCCTTTTTACAACATATGACAAACAATAAAAAACTGGGTACTGAGATATGAATTCATTGTTTGTTTGTTTTTTTCTCACTCCACATAGTGTTAGAATTCAACATCAAAGTGAAAATCCTTGAATAAATTCTTTCGTCTTTTGACAACACACATTTTGGAGCCATCAGTAACTTTCTGGCTGGATATTTAACCACAATTGCAGCTTAAATTTGTGAGGTTTATTTAAATAGGCTGATGTTGTTGCACTGACATGGCTTTTAAAAATGCAGAAAAGGGTTGATGTTGATGCTTTTTACAGGCTATTCTAGAAAATGTAATCCTTTCTACAATACGTGTTCACAGACTCTTTAAACTGTAAGAATTATTCTCTTAGCTGTTTCTCTACTTTAATAGATCCCAAACCAATTCAATATCATTTATAAATGATCTTCCAAAATGAGGTCGTTATTAAGGAACCAAAAGAGACATGGAGTGGTGTTCAGCAAGGTCAATAAAGAACATTATAGATATACCAGTGCAACTGTAGTAGCCAGTTTAAATCATAATCATATTGCATACTAAAGAAATTCCAATCAATATTGAAGCCCTCTTCCAAACTGGACACTTTAAATCTTAGCTGGTGTGTTTAACCACTCATATGAACAAACAATATGCCTAATGGAATAAAGATTTATGGTTAGTTTTGATACATATCAGACTTTTGGCCACGCTGAATAAGTATGTTTAGCTTTTAAACTTGGAAGACTATTAAGCATCAGCCGTGATTGTAGAAGCATCAAGGGTCTGTGAATTAAAAAGTAGCTAAAAAATTCCACTTTCAGTCAGATGAACAGCTCAAGAGTTGCAACTACTACATAGGATTTAAGACACATTATAACTGGTTTTAAAACACATTGAAAACGTTTAACATTACATCTGATAATAGTTCTGACATCAACTCCATTAAAGCTATAGTGCCTATGAACTGATGTGCTAGAAAATAGGGCTGTCTAGACTCAATACTAATATGAGAAATAAATCCCATATCTGCCAAAAATTAATTGTTGTATATATCTGTCCGCATCTAAAATAGCCAATATAGCAAAGGTGAAAGAAGAACTACATGTATGCTTCTTTCTGCTTGTATTTTAAGTTTTTACTACCCATTGGTTAAAATAAATGGGTTAGTTGTTCTCATTTCAGTTTATCTCTGCTTCACTATCACTTGATTAAGCTATTTTTAATACTTCACTCAAAATATGTAATACAATTATATGTAATTCATGCTGATATCATATTGGTACAAAATCAGTATGAGTCAATACTCAAAGCTGCAATATTGGTATCATATCAAAACCAAAATGTTGTATCAGGACACCTTTACCAAAAATCATTTTAAATGAATTTTAATTCTTGTGATCTGAATTTCCAAAATAAAAAAAAATAAAAAAGCTACGAATATGCAACATGTTTGCTGATACTTGAAACTTGCTCAGACATTTGAATCTTAATATTAGTTGGGAAATGTTTGTATTTGAGCTGTGTCGTTCTTATCCAACATAAATTAGAAAAAAAAAATCACAAAAAAATCAATCTGCTGTTCACAATTATGGTTCTAACCCATATTTGAGCTGTTTGTTGAAAAGAAGAATGCTTCAATGTTGCCAGTTCTGCCAATGATGAGTGCACGTAAACGTCTGACCTGAACTTAAGGTGATAGTCTAGTTAAGGGCATAGTCATGGTTCAAAGGTTAACTCTGATGTATGCTGCATGTCTGCCCCCTCAATTCAATTCTATTTTATGTCTGCTAAGTTTAAAAAAATAATGGCCGCTAGCACCTGAAAATAATCTTTAACAAACAAATTCGCTAAATGCACATTTTCATTGGTAATGTAAAGTAAACATTTGTTTTGGAGGAGACTGCATCTAAGATTGTGAGGAAAGAAGAAAAAAGACCAGCAGCAACAGCTAATTGGAATATTAGTAATTAACTTATTCTGCACAATTTGGTGATCTTTAGATCATTAGAAAAATCTTAATATTAAGGGGTTATATTTTTGCTCCTGTTTTATTTATGTTTTAAACAAACTTGACTTAACTTGAATTGGTATGCAAGTAAAACAATACTCCTGTGCTAACTTCCATAAGTGCTCTCTTTAGCAGTTTCTTCTTTTGAAATTGATCACATTCAGTTTGTTGCTGTAAATGTCTGTTGTTTACAAGCAGTCTAGAAATTGTCAGAAGTGAACATGTGCAAACATCCCAAAAATCCAACTGATAACTCACCGCATGATCTGACTTTAAACGAATGGACTAAGTCCATACCTTACTGACATTAGCTCACCACCCACAGAGACGTTGCTGTTCCTGCTGTTATGCCGATGTATTCTTTTCAGGAAGAGGGAAAGACTCAGGTCAAGACATCATATAGACATCACAATCAATAGAAACCTGGATAGGCGGACGCATAGTTTTGACTTCGCTTTTTCAGCTGTGATTTCTCTACAACTAAACTGGCACCCACACGTCTCCGACAAGCAAAGTTATCTTTGTTTATTATTTAGAAAATCTCTAGTAGGTATTCACAGTTGTGATGGCAAAAATACCCATATGAAGTCTAAAATTGCTGGTTTAGTCGTCTAGAACATGAATGCCAAAGTACTGGAGATTCACTGTCAACGTAGACTATTGGTAGTTTCAGATTCAGAGTAAAAACATCTTGCAGCTTGTTGCCTTTGAGCACTAACACACATAATCACACATACAACCATTCATTTTTTGAATATATATATATAGAGAGATAGATCTGTAGTAATATGGAGCAGTGAGAATACCTTCAGTTAAATCTGACGGTATAAAGTGAGACACATTTCACAACCGTTAGTGTTGAGAGTGATTCTCTTCGGTCTATGGATGCACCTCTGAAGGCGTTTGCATGGTATAAGATTTCTGTACAAGAAAACAGCACATAAAAAACGTGGATACTGGAGAAAAAAAAATCCTATGCTGATTGTGATGTTTAAAATGTCATTTCATTTTTTTTTTCTTCTCTAGAAAGGGGAGGCGAAATTCATTTTGGCAGGATGAGGCAGAGTACTGCCTTTGATGTATTGAGATCCTGCACTAAACAGTAGTTTCATTCTTCCAGGGGCCAGTGCGTATATTCCCTGTGCTGTCTGAGGTGTACAGAAGTCCTTCATTCATGCCTCCCTTTAGAATCCCATTCTGACTGGTTGGGTTCTGGGGGCATGATTGTCTTCGCGGGGCATGTCTCTCCAGATGGTGATGTGTTGTCACAGGCTCCTCCTCAGCTACTTTGTTGCAGCCACACAGAAAGACACCTGCGTCCCCTGATTCTGCCGGACACAGAGAAGGGAAAAGGTCTGCCTTGGAACAGCAGATATGCTTGTGACAGGGATTATGGCATGCCAAAGACTCATGGAGAGTGGCTGCAGTAGCATGGCATGTGTGATGCCCATCGTGGTGGCCTTCTTGGGCAAGATGCGGACAGATATGGGTGTGTCGCTCACGTGTGCTGTGGGGGCTGTCAGTGTGTGAGCTGTGCATACTGCCCCCATCTGCGCTGGAGGAGATATGATAAGCATATTCCCTGTCGCTCCCTGCTCCGCACGCAGCAGCTTTGCGGCCAAAATGGCGGCTTTTAGTCCTGGTGCTGCTTTTGAGGCAGGGGTGTAGTTGGATCCCTGGTTCAGAGTGTAGTAACACATGGGTGGCGGTGGGCTCCTCCTCCATCAACTGCTGGCTATGAAGGGCAGCACAGCATGGGGTTACCGGTGCCAGGCATGTCACATGATTTTGTGAGGATGGAAGAGTGGCATGCTTACAGTGACCCATTCCGCTGTGGCTGCAGCTAAGCAGTGCTTTAACCTGACACGGTGAGTCATGGTGGCAGTGGCTGTGACCATGACCATGCCCTGGGGTGTTCCCATTTACATTCACCTTGGGGCGTGTTTGAGCAGACCCCACCTCACCAGAGCAGCCATTGGCATGTCTTCCAGGACAGCAGGAACACCAGCAGTGCCAGACGTCATCACGCTTAGCACAGTGATGGATGAGGATGAAGAGGCCAAGGGTGACGGAGAAGGCACCATAAAGGCAGCTGAAGATCATGTCTAGGAAGTGTCCCTGCGACACGGCCAATGCACCAAAAGTCCACGTGGCAAGAAACAGGAAAAGGGTGAAGGCTGCAGTTCGTAGCTGAGCTTTGAAGGAGTGCTCATTAGCCAGCAGAGCAGGGTTGATGGGGATGCCAGGGCAGCCAGCGGGGCAGTTGCTCCCACCAGATGGGGTTGCCAGTGCCCCAGGCTCGGCTCCCTGATGAGAGTGGGTTGGAACATCCCCTGCAGCCAGCCTCTGATGCTCTTCTGTCAGCTGCTTGAGCTCGTACTTCTTCTCAGGGTGTCGCCGGAGCTGAATGAAGGTGCAGAGAAAGTAGATGCATGTCACCAACACAATGAAGGCCACAGGGCCAAAGAAGGCCCCCAGGCTGGGCTCCCATGCCATCCAACAGCTGCAAAACAGATGAGTCAAGTTTAGTCGCTTATTTGGAATTCAAAATTTATAACTTTCAACATCTTTAGATAACAACCAAAACTTACTATGGTGCTTGTTCCCCACTTCCATAGTTGTCCATATTGACAGCTGCTGTGACGCCACAGATTATGAGAGGAACTCCACCACCGACTAAATAAAATCTATGATGTGGCAGAGGAAGAAACAGAACAACAAAAGTATGATAAGGAACAGAATAAAACAAACAAAAAAGACTATTGGACAGACTACTATTTTACATTTTTATGTTTAAAATGTGCCTTCAGTGTCTATTAGCAAGTTGTCTTTAATTAGCACGAAGGTAAGAGTTTAGTCACAACTTTCAACATACACCCCCAAATATTTGGTCAGTTGTCCATGCATTTTGAAGATGTTAACACACTTATGGGATTTAACTAGTTGGATATTGAAATACTTCACATTTTATAACACATCATTTGTGGGCAATAATAGTAATTTATCTAAATTAGCTGATTTCCCAGGATACAGATAAGACTTTAAAGAATGTACTCATTTTCAACAGGGTTGAAGTGGGGCTTAGTTGAGGCCATTCTATAAATTTTTCTAACAGCATAAATCAGTTCACATAAATCCAATGTATCTATATATCATAGATTCACAACAGCTTTAATCTAAAGAAGAATTTATGAAAATAAAAGAGATATTTTTTTGTCATTTTTAAATAATTATATAACCCTTTAAAGCCCATTAAAGCCAATCCCACAGACATATTCAAGAACTATATACTTTCAAATTTTATCCCATTTATATATATAAAAAAATGCAGTGAAGTTCATTGTTCAAACTGTTGAAACGTTTTCTTATTAATAAGTTATTGAACTGATTGGATGAAGCAAATGCTCTTCCCAACTGAGCATCTACCCTTGCATCATCAACTTGGCAGAAATCCCTTATGCTGTACAGGCATGTAGTGACAATGGACAAGATAAGTTTTCTTTAACAGGAAGAAATCTCCAGACAAACCTAAACCAGGGTGAGCCGCCGTTTGCCTAGACCTACTGGGGGCTTGACCAGACAGACCAGGCATGCAAAAAAGAGAAGAGCTAATTGTCTTTGTAGTTAATTTATATGGTTCATCTAGGCGGGAAACACAGCTCAGTCTATGCAATGAAAAACTGAGTTTTAACAGAGTTTATATTAATAATAGCCCCTCTTTTGCAGAACCAAAGAAGTGAGGGTTAAATACAGACAACCAGTGCAAAGTGAATTATCTATAGAAAAAATAAAGAAGGCAGGCCTACCTCATCAATTCCAAAATGTTATATTTCTTTGACTTTATTGAAATGCTGCAAAATCCTATTTATAAGCACTGATATGTATAACGTTTTCTTGTTGGCTTGTTTTAGCAATTCCTAAACTGGTTTTGATGTGTGATTGGAGTCACTGTTTTATTGGAACACTCCAATGTTTTAGCGCTAACAAAATATTTTTGCTGTTTAAGAAAAAGCAGACCAACCATAAACATTGAAGCATGAATCTACATCCAAGTGAAGGTTAGGCAAGATCTCTGGAGAGACTTTCAAACCAATAAAAACATTTTTTTTTATGTGTGAGTATTTCGTAGTAAGTTATATTGGTTTATAGTGAAAAAAATAATGATAACCACTTCCATATTATTTGGCTTTACAGTAAAACAACAGCTAGATCAGGGATGGGCACTTCCAGTCCTTAAAGGAATAGTACACCCAAAACATGATTAGCCTTCATTTTCTACTCACCCCCATGCTGAACAACACTCTGGAGTACTTTTTTGATATCTCAAATGCATCTGGAGATCTGGGAGGCTTCTTGCTGTCTGCTGACATTCAAATAATGGAGGTGCCCAGCGCCCGAGGCAGAAAGGTCCATAAAAGTCCACAAAAAACGTTTCAATATTCCTCCATGCTGCTCGTCCAATGTATTCCAAGTGTCCTGAGTGGGTAGCATCCAGAATTTACTCGAAACTAAGTCATTTAGAATGTTTTTAGAGCATAAACAGTAGTGTATAGGATTTCCTGAAAGCGCGTTCACGACGCTACGGAAACCGCGGCAGACCAAACCAGATGAAAGTGCGCATTCAGCTCGGCAAAGAACTCATGCTCTTCCTCAACACTGAAGTCCTCAGACATTTTTCTTTCGTTGTTTCTTTCTTTGCACAGGCAAACAGCACATTTCTTCTTCTACGCTTGCATTATTGGCAGAGCAGACGCTGAATGCGCACTTTCATCTGGTTTGGTCCGCCGGCTTCCGTAGCGTCGTGAACGCGCAGGTGCGCGCTTTCAGGAAATCCTATACACTACTGTTTATGCTCTAAAAACATTCTAAATGACTTTGTTTCGAGTAAATTCTGGATGCTACCCACTCAGGACACTTGGAATACATTGGACGAGCACTATGGAGGAATATTGACACGTTTTTTGTGGACTTTTATGGACCTTTCTGTCTCGGGCACCATAGACCTCCATTATTTGAATGTCAGCAGACAGCAAGAAGCCTCTCAGATCTCCAGATGCATTTGAGATATCAAAAAAGTACTCCAGGGTGTTGTTCAGCATGGGGGTGAGTAGAAAATGAAGGCTAATCATGTTTTGGGTGTACTATTCCTTTAAGGGCCTGTGTCCTCCAACTTTAAAATGTATCCTTGGTCCAGCACACCTGAATAACATCCTCAGTGTGTTCTCTAGAGTCCTGTTAATGTAATCATTTAAATTAGGACACTGGCCCTCAAGGACTTTAGCTGCTCATCCCTGACCTTAATGAATAAAACAAGGAAAACAATTCTATACCACTAGAGGATAACGCTCCCAAACCCAAATCAAAACTTGTGTTGAAACGGATAAAGCAGATCAACATAAGCTTCCTATACAGACTTTCCAAAACCCTCTCTTCAACAGAGCAAACTCCACAAAGTCTGCCAAAAAGCATGGCCAACTATCCAGAGAGAAGTACACCAGAAGGTTGATGACCACGAGAAATAAAATCTGTTATAAATAAAACAAGTTCTCCCAATTCCTGTTTTTAACAATCTGTAAACTAACTAGTTTGGTATGTAATTATTTCAGACAACAACATTATAGATTAAATTGTTAATGCCTAAAATTATTATGGCATTCATACAAATAATGAATGGATATAAGGTTTGGACTGGAAGTGCTCAGAGAGAACTAAATGAATGTTTAAATAAGGACTTATGAGGTAATTGACATCCTTGGCCAACCTAGAAGTAACATTATATGAAATTAATTTTGTGTATTTTCTCATTTTGATTGACATCCAGTGACACATGGGGTCCTTAATGAAAACAAGCAGTTTTTTTTCCAAACCCGCCAAAAAGAAAAAGCAACAGATCATCTCTGTTTACCGTTTGAGCATGTCAGAGTGTTTATGATTACACCCTTGGGGTGCAATCACACCTACTATTTGTTTTCTTCACTCCAAACCAAAGTGCAAACTGTACCACATAAACAAATCTGCCTCCTGTCGATCTGAACATGATGGAACTGCAAGCTGTGTTTTTTTTTTTTTTGTATTGCATATAGGATCTGTCCTCGATTCAAGCTAAGATATGAATACATAATCTTTTTCTAAAACAACAGTTTTCTTCATGAAAGATGAACGAAGAAGGAACGTTAAACCTACAAGTATATTTGTAGTCAGAAGAGCAGTTCAAGCTATCAATTCAAAGTATACTACAGAAAAGATGAGCACTTGACGTACAAATGAAGCCATCTTCAGGGAGATCACAGACCCAAGTGGATAGCGCAGTCGTCAAAAATATTTTGACATGGGAATAATGAAAAACCAATTGTTTATGAATAAAGAATAAAGTCAAATCAGGCATAAAAGCTGCATCTGCCAACTGTCATGAGAAATACTGGTACTTCATAAATTACCTTCAGCTATACACAGGTGCATTTCAGTACATTAAAATATGATTAGATTGTGAATATCTTGCAGCATTCCATCCACAGGTGAAAATATCTGTTAAAAAACCCAGTAATATTTCTGTTTTAATTGTCATTTTAAGCCTGGTTCTTTTTTATATTTATGGTAGACACTAAGAAAAAATAAACAAAAGAATGAATCATCTTTTTAAAATCGGTTTTTATGTAATTATGAAAGATGACTTTTAAAACAAAAACTAGAAATAATAATGGAAAAGTATAAATATAAAAAAGGCCTGTTTTAATGACATTAATGTGCTTTACAGGCGAGGAAATTGACCTGAACAAAACCCAGTAGAGAACCTACAGTGTGTGTTGAGAGAAACGATAAATAGATCAGACCAGTGCAAACAAGCTGAGAGCAGCTATCTACATTGCAGAAATTTAAGTCTAAATATTTTTTCTTCAGATAAATGTATTTTACTTTGATTTGAGCAGGTAAATAAGCTAACATCCTACTTGAATAAAATGAATCATGCTTAAAATAAAATAATTAAAACTTGATTAACTTATTTCGAGTGCATAACTAATTACCTTATTGTAAGGGTAAAAAATTCTAATTCAAGTGGAAGATCATTTTATTTACTTTCTCAGAATAAGAGCAAATGTACTTATCTTACAATATAACTAAACACTGCAAAAACTGCAATTTATTAGTTTATTTGAGTAGCAAACAAAGACAACAAACAACAAATACCACCATAGGAAAAAAAAGTCCACAGAACTTATGAAAAACCCAGTCGTGACTTATCATATCATTTGATCACTGTTATGCTTGAAAAAATGGAGATGTCATGAGAGCTGTACAAAACAAAATTTTGTTTTCGATAGACTCTGTGTATAAAAAATGACTATAAAAGCTGTCTAAGTCTAAGTCATAGATGAAGCTGCAATTAGATTTTCCCCTTACAAAACCTGTTTACAGTTTAACTCTTTATACAGTATATACCAGGCACCAATAGGTGCATAGCATCTGTTTGTACGCTTGAATAATCATTCAAATTATACATTTGAATAGTTGAAAGAAAAACAAAAACATTTACAATTCACTTTCTTAGTTCTTTGATAGGTCTATAATAACACTATTCTATTGTTTATGATCGCACAAATGGAAAAAGGGTAAAGAAATACAAAAACATTTAGTGTAGCTGAACTTCCTCAGGATCTCTTAACTGCTGCAGACTGATCACTTCCATGCA